TGGAGCTTTTGTGCTGTTTCCTAAAAGAGCGAGCTTTAATTGCAAGAAATTTTCTGTATCCTGCTCTTCTTCATCTTCTCCTGGTAATGTTTACGAATTAATCTCATGAAGATTTTTTCTTCCATTTTTTGTTTAGTTTAAGTAATTGCGTTTTGTTAAATGAATCTGATAATAGGGTGTTTTTTGTTTCTTCTTTCTGGTTTTGGTCGATTTTGTTTGTTGTTTATGCGGTTACTGTAATTTTTTAGTTCTCAAATTAAAGAGTCATTTGATTTCTTTGACTCATTAAAGGAACCTAGGGAGGAAAAGACCGAGAGTGAGTCTCTTAGTTGGTGCTTGGTGAATTGTGTTGTATAGTTTGGCAATGATGATACATGTAGAAGGGATTTAATTTGGAAGTGAATGCTTTAGTGGGAAACTGAATTCTGTGATTTGTGGTCACTTGAAATTATTCTGTCATGTTACGGAAGATTGTTGACATGAGACAAGCAATCCTATGTTGAACAATTGAAAACCCCACCAACAAGAGCTTAGCAGAGTTTGTACCACTAATTACAAAGCTTTGATTTTGAGTCAAGTGTAGGGGTTAAACCTATGCGATGCTCACTGCTAAGGGGCTAACAGCGGATGTGCCATAAAATATTGAAAATTCAAATGGGTGAAAGGTAGTCCAGAATCAAGTTTTGCAGGTTGAAATAGGTTTGGTTTATGTTAAAATTTTGTGTTTCTAGTAATGTTTAAAGCATCAATGGTGCCTTGTTTAGAAATGAAAATTGTTTGCAAACCCTAACATCGAATTGCCTAATATTTTAGGTTGAATGTCTTCTCTGAGTCACAATTTGCAAAAGCTGCATTTGTTTATCACTTAAATGACTTTGAAGGATCACAATTTATTCTTCATGTGATGGGTTAGATTATTGATCTTATGGTCTTTGATGGTCTTGTTTAGAAGAAAAGTTCAATAAAAAGCCTATCATTGGAAGAGGGTTACATATTCTCTTTATTGTCATTTGTATGATATTCAGACCCACTGTTAGTTAAGGCTGCAAGAGGGTAACCTATAATTCAGCCTCCAGCATGGATGATGCACCAAGCAGGAAGGTATATGGCTGTTTACAGAAAGCTTGCAGAGAAGTGCCCATCCTTCGGAGAAAGGTCAGAGACAACTGATCTTACTGTGAAAATTTCTTTGCAGCCTTGGGAAGCCTTCTCTCCGGATGGAGTAATAATTTTTTTGAACATACTTACACCTCTTCCTGCTTTTGGTGTCCCGTTTGACATTGAACAAGTGAGAGGCCCTGTCATTCAGAAACCGATTATTTCAGAGGAGTGCTTGAAGGCATTGCATCCAATTGACCTGGAGAAACTTCATTTTGTTGGGGAGTCCCTTAAGATTTTAAGTGGCACCATTACAGCCAACACGCTTTCAAAACTTGTAAACCTTTGGGATCTGGATCTTTCCAATAATAGTTCGCTGTCTTTGAGCATTAATGGCACTGGTGTCAACTATTCCTTTCTGAAACTTTTGTCCTTAAGATTCTCTTCTTGCAACATTCACAAGTTCCCAAGTTTTTTAAGGAAGGCAGAGAGTTTGCTAATATTGGATATTTCCAAGAACAAGATTTCTGGTCAAATTCACAAATGGGAAATAGAGGGGATGTCATTGTGCAGATTAAACCTTTCTTATAACTTCTTGCCGTTGGCTTTCTTTCTTCCTTCAAGAAGATCTGACAAAATAATGTGTGCATGAACTTAATTAGTTGGCAGCAGAAGCTGCAGGCAGTTGCCCTTTCTTTCTGTGATTGTTATGTCTTTTTATGTGAATTATTATTTCATGTTCAATGTTTGTTGAAAATTTTAGCTAAAAACTTAAATGTTTTTTATGTCATCACTTTTCTATGTTTTCTTCCAGTCCTTTCCCCTTGACGGTGCGTTTTAATGAAAGAAATGAAAATTTTTTTTTTTTAGTATGTGTACTGCCCACGTTATCTTCTTTTACCGTACTTCTCTCCGAGCAGTTGAAATTGAAATTCTAGTCAACGCCGAAGTGGACGCATCCGACGGATTTGG